CGAGCACCAACACTAGAAACCAAGACACACAGGAAAGAATCAAGGAGATTTAAATCCACTCTCTTGGGAAGTCATTTTCCCGAGACCCTTCTGATTATCAAAATAGACTGCATTTATCAAAAAAGAACTATGAAAAACAATTCACACCACCCATAATCCCAAAACCTGAAGGTGACTGCTGTTTATACTTTGATGTATTTACTTTATATACACACACATATTTACAGATATACGTACATATATACCAAGACAGGACACAGTACACATTCTGTTGTGGCCTCAACTGTAGAAGTAATGGCTCCAATCTGGAGCCTCCTGTAGTGGACTCTGTACCAATCACGTGGTAAGGTATAAGGACAGGCAGAAACACTTTTTGGGTAGTAGACCAGTAGTTAGATGTAGATATGTAGAGAGAAAGAGAGATAGAGCTAGAGAGATTTATTTACCAAAACAGAATGGTACATATTTCTTTCTGATGTTCATTTCTCACTTAACAGTAAGACACAAGCACAGTCTCATATTCTTAACTTTTGATATTGTGATATTAAATGGCTTTGTAACATTTTGCCATGTCAACATTTCACAATATGCTTACTTAGTTCTATCTTACTGGGTACTTAGATTGTTTCCAAATTTTTATTTTCACTCCCAACATTGTTAGTGTGCAGTCTTCTGTATCATGGCCAAGAGTGAATATTATCACTAAAAATGTCTTAGCCAGTTTGAAAGATACATTGTTTTAATTTATACAGGCTGAACATCTGTAATCCAAAAATCCAGAACCTGAAATGCTCCAAAACCCAAAACTTTTCGAGTACCACCATGACGCTCAAAGGAAATGCTCATCGGAGCAGTTCAGATTTTCAGATTAGGGATGTTCAACTGGCAAACATAAGGTAAATATTCCAAAATCTAAAAAAAAAAAATCTAAAATCCAAAACACTTCTGGTCCCAAGCATTTCAGATATGGGATACTCGACCTGTATTTCTTTGTTTACTAGGGAGATGGAACATTTTTTTCAAGTTGCTTATCCATCAGCAATTCTAGCATGACTTTGCTATTCATGTCCTTATTCCAGCTTATTCAGGGAATATTCATCTTATCTTGTTTGTATTTATTTGATTGTAAAAATATCACCTTAACTCTTTGTTATACTTAAGATTGCAAATACTTTCCTTTGTTTGTAGTTTACCTGTAAATTTGTGTCTGGTAGCATTTTAGTGGTCAGATATATTAAATGTTTTTATACGGAAATCTTTTTTTCCACTGCCATTTCTTCTTTTTCTTCTATTCTTAGGAAGGTCTTTATTTTGAGATAAAATAAACAGCCATTATATTTGATTCTATACCTTTCATAGTTTTTTTTTTTTTTTTTTAAACTTAACTCTATCCTTGAATTTTTTTGGTATTGTGAGTAGGTGACTAAGTGTATTTTCCCCCAAATAGCTAACCTAGTATCTTAGTATCTCAGCATCATATTTCTTTTAATTTATTTTTTTGAGACAGGGTCTCCCTCTGTTGCCCAGGCTAGAGTGCGGTGGTATAATCATGGCTCACTGCAACCTCAAACTCCTGGACTCAAACAATCCTGCCACCTCAGCCTCCTGGGTATCTGGGAATATAGGCATGTGCCACCACATCCATCTAATTTTTATTTTTTGTGGAGACAGGGTCTTGCTATTTTGCCCAGGGTGGTCTCAAACTCCTGGCCTCAAGTGATCCACCTGCGTTGGCCTCCCAAAGTGCTGGGATTACAGGCATGAGCCACCATGCCTGGCCCTCAGCATCATTTGTAAACGTTCCATTCTTTCCCCACTCATCTGAAAACAATATCCTTATCAAATACCAAATATATATATATATACACACACACACACACACACACATACACACGCATACTGTATATACATACATAATGTATATACACATACACATAAATACATACTGCTGTATATATTTGTGTGTATACTGTGTCTTGTCCTTTGAACTGTTGGTCTATTCTTATACCCACCTAACATCTGATTCTAGCTTTCTAATACATTTTAACAAATGCAGTGAAAGTTATTACTCATTCATTTTGTCCTAACCTTTCTTGGTAGTCATCACCCCTGTATTCTCTCAGTTGAAGCTTTAAAATCTAATTCTGTATTCCTTTGAGTCCAAGATGTACTTCTTTCAATTGGATTCTGTGAGACTTACCCCATAGCTTCACAATTCGATCTTTTCTTTTTTTCTCTTTTTTTTTTCTTTTTTTTTTTTGAGGCGGATCTCGCTCTGTCGCCCTGACTGGAGTGCAGTGGCGCTAGCTCACTGTAAGCTCCGCCTCCCGGGTTCACGCCATTCTCCTGCCTCAGCCTCCCGAGTAGCTGGGACTACAGGCGCCCGCCACCACGCCCGGCTAATTTTTTGTATTTTTAATAGAGACAGGGTTTCACTGTGTTAGCCAGGATGGTCTCGCTCTCCTGACCTCATGATCCGCCCGCCTCGGCCTCCCAAAGTGCTGGGATTACAGGAGTGAGCCACTGCGCCCGGCCTCTTTTTTTCTTTTTAACCCAGTCTAAGTAGATTTCTGTTCCTTAAGGTTTTACCTCAGCCTTATTTTCTCTCTCCACTTCCTCTTTCTATGATCTCATCTAAACAGCTGACATCTGTCATCTTTAGGAAGAAGTCCAGATTGATATAAATAAAAAGCTAACATTGGCCAGGTATGGTGGCTCACGCCTATAATCCCAGCACTTTGGGAGGCTGAGGCGGGCAGATCACTTGAGGTCAGGAGTTCAAGAGCAGCCTGGCCAACATGGTGAAATCTTGTCTCTACTAAAGATACAAAAATAAACAAAAATTAGCCAGGTGTAGCAAGGGGGTCAATATGGCTGACCTGAATACAGGAAAGTAGTAGATGAGGAGGGAGGGGCATGGGGCTGCCCCAGATTATGGCTGGAAACTGCAGGTAAAGGTTTCTTGAAATCAGCTGTGCAAATAGTGGCTCACGCCTGTAATCCCAGCACTTTGGGAGGCCAAGGCAGGTGGATCACCTGAGGTCGGGAGTTCGAGGCCAGCCTGGCCAACACGGTGAAACCGTCTCTACTAAAAATACAAAAATTAGCTGGGCGTGGTGGCTATCCCAGCTACTTGGGAGCTACTCGGGGGGCTGAGGTATGACAGTCGCTTGAACCCAGGAGGCAGAGGTTGCAGTGAGCCGAGATCGTGCCCCTGCACTCCAGCCTGTTCAACAGAGTGAGACTGTCTCAAAAAAAAAAAAAAATAATAAAATAAAATAAAAATTGTTGAAACCCTTCCCAAAAGGCCTTAGATTTGGGAATAGGAACTGTGTATTAATAGGGTTCAGAACCACCTGGCAAAGACAGTTGAGTGTCATGGCTACACTGCACTTAAAGCTGAGGGACGAGGGGAAGGGGTATGAATGCTATTAAGGAAAGTGAGAAGAGAGAGACAGTTCCATTTAGTTTCTTAAAGACACTAATGCACAGTCAAAATGATTCATGATGCACAAGAGTTTGAGGGCAGAATGACAATGATATGTGATCAGAATAACTAGATGAGGCTACCCTGAAAAAAAGTGACATTCAGGGCTTAATATTACTGATGAGGTACAGTGCAAACTGGGCTTGGTTTTGATCTTCCAAAAGGCATGCTGCCACAACATCCATCTGCCCCACAAGTGGGCTGGATAAAATTCAAGTTATTTTAAGAATATTGAAGAATATTTATAAGGCAACTACATACAAGATAGAAGAGTACAGAAGTCAGATTTCTGTAATCATTTAATGTAAGGCATGTGCTTTAAAAAATCTATTGTTTCTGCAAAAGGCAGGATGTATAGTGGTTAACTGCATGTTCTTTGGGGGGCAAACAGAACTGGGCTCAAATATCCATTTTGCCACTTAATCCTGTGTGACTTTGGTTAAGCAACCAACTCGAGCCTCAGTTATCTCATCTGTAAACTGGAAATGATACCCCCAACCTCAGACAGTTGGTATATTAAATGAAACAACGTGTTTAAAGTGCACAGCACTGTAACTGCTCAATAAAATTATGGCTTTTTCCTACTAAAGATGCATTGTATGTCAAGATTTCTCACATTCATTATGCATACCTCTTGAAATTAAAGGGACCCAAACTTACACTGCTATCAGAATACATGCAGACAGCAAAAACAAAGGAAACACATTTCATCAGAATTCTAAAGGCAGTTCTGGCATTCAAAAAGTAAACGCATTGAACCTAAAAAGATGACCCTCCAAACTGACTTTCTAGATACATTGTAACCCTCACAGCAACATATATGGAACCACTCTTCCTGATGATCAGTCAACTTAAAGTGCTTCTTTCAGAGGCCTCGTGAGGTGGCAGTTATGAAAGCCATTTCTTTGACTTAATTACAAGCTATTAAACGTCTTTCAGAAAATGAAACCCTATTATTCTGGAACTATGGAGGGAGCCAATGTCTAATTCCTTCTCCCACCAAAAATACCTCTTATGTAAAAATGAGTATGTTTATGTATGTGTTGTCGTTTTATCCAATTATATAAAAATTGAGCATTAGATTGGATTGTAAGGAATTTAAAGGAAATTCAGAAAATGGATAGCTCCTCCCCTTGCCCCGCCACATCCCTGAGGTATATCTCACTCAGAATGAAATGAACTTCAACAATGAGTACAGTTCATCAATGCAGACAGACATATGCTGAAAGTACATTTGTTAAGATGTTCTTACATTTGTTAGATTTCCGTATTTTGTTTTTGATGTTTTCTTGCAATTTCCATGACTATGTAGGTCCCCCTATTTGAGGTGTCTGTACTAAAGGTTCTGTACTAGTGCCTTCCTAATGACAGGACTTGGTTAAGTTGCAGATCCATGAGATCCTATGATTCCTGTTGACAATCCAAGAGACTAGAATTTAAGGAACTTAGGTTATACAATTAACTCTAAGCTCTTAAGGCTGAGCATATAGAATAAAAATGAGGTTATCCATAGTGGCATGAAATGCATGATCTTTATTAATTTTTAATCCATCAATCTAAAATCACACATACTAGATCAAACAGAAGTACCACAGTATGCTTTATTTTGCAGGTAGTAATTGGTTCTCTAAATTGATACATCCAAAACTTTAGTTAGCAGCAAGCATCAGTTCTTCCAAAGCAGCTTAGGTGAAAAACAATTCTTTACATTCACCAGTTCAAAGTCGTACTGTCTGATCCACTGTTGTATTGACATAAAAATGAACCCAGTAGGCAAAGCTAATTAAACACTCAGCTCATAGATTTTCAGCTTCCTTTATCTTATTGGAGTTGAAGCAGTTTTTAACCCTCTGTTCATATTCTGTATTTTAATTCTCAAAGAATTAAACACACATATTTTCTAATTAATTAAGATAGAGCCACGATAACTATTGAGGAATTAGTGATATTAGTCTCATACCCAAAAGGTAGAACACTTTTAAATGAACCCATAAGTTTGAATGTATCTGAATTTCCAATTTATATGCTTAGCAAGGTCACAAGCTGGATTTAATTAATCTGGCTTCTAGACAATCATCTCAAAAATATGTATTGAAATGAAGTCACTGTTTTTTATGATGCCATCAATTTAACCAAATGCTTTTACAACAAATGAGCAGTTGTTCTCAAAAGAGAACACTTTAAAAGAAAACATTCTTTACATACTTAGCAAATACAGGAGAGTGTGATCAGAGCTATAGAGTTCTAGAGGAGTTGCAATTGAGCAATCTAACTTTCTACTCCAGTTTTTGAGATGTACATGTTTTTGAGATGTACATATAGAGAAGGCAGTAAAGAAAGATCTTGATAAATTTTCTTTAACAAAATTTTGTAATTCCAGTTATTGGCAAAGGGTTCTGGCATGAGTTAATGGCAGCAATACAGTGGTGAGCTTCTGCATTGTGCTGAGAGGTAGATTGGGACTTAATCCTTGGATTGAATAACCAACTCACTTTATTTAAGGTTTAGGCTTAATTTTTTTAATCCAAAAAATATTTTCTGAAGTGAAGGCAGATCTTTGGGAACTTTTGTTTTTAGTTAAATATAGAGATAAAATAGCTTGATAAAATAAACGTCTGCCTTACACTAATGACAGGTGTACAAAGCAGCCATTTGAACCCCAGACAACTTCAACACTGTGCTTCCAAAAAAAAGGGCAATTGAACAGCTGAACCAATCAAGCAGACACGGGGATGAGTGGTCTCTAGTACCTTACTCCAGAAGCCAGAGCCATTAGCGGTCCCTACAGGGATATAAGTCTACATCAAGATCAACAAATGTACAGAATAATCTTGGTCCAGCTTTGGCTAGGCAGGCATCTGACTGATGACATATCAGGGCCCACTAACCTCTAGAGTAAGCACTTGTTGCTGTGAGAAAAAAGAAATCAATATATTAAAAATATCAACTAGAGCATATTCACGTAGGGAATGGGAGAGTGCAGGAGGCACACAAACAAAGTATATAGAGTTTTTGTTTTCAGTGCAGGATAAATGAACCTTCTTAACAAGTTAAGGCTCTGAGGGAAAAAACTTTCTAAACCACAACCTTAATAAACCATAACCCATACAGGTGTTCCAAATCAACACCTTTTAAAAAAAGCTGAAGGTCTTACTTCATCCTTCAGTATAAATGTCAAGTCTGAGATAATCAGTATATTCCAAACTCCAGAAAAAAAAAGAAATTTCCTTGTTAAAATATAGTAGCTATTAACAATGATGAAGAAAACAGCCAAACTTTTGCTATTAAATACGATATCATGAAGCCATTTCTTTCTTAACCAAAAAAATACAGATTTAAATAATGCTGATCAGGAGGTGGGGAAAGGAAGTCTTATCATGAACCAAATTTCGTTTCTGCCACTAATGAAAATGAATCCATTATGTTCTTGAATTTATTTCCTGAAGCAAGTTAAATTCTTTAACACCTTTGATTTTGCAAATAACACCAAAGTAGTAAAATATAAGTAACTGTAACATATAAAATTACACATCAGTAAAAATGCTTTCATAATTGGATCCAGGGGCTTAAAATCATTACTTAAAAAATTCTAAGCCACAATTTTTCTTTTAATTATACTTTAACAAAGGAAGAAAAAAACCAAAAAAATTGGTCCTAATATATTTTGTCTTAAATAAGTGTACTCATGCCCAAGTTAGCTAGCAACTCACTTAAGTTTGTCTGCATATCTTAAACAATCTATTGCACAGCATGTCCTGGCTTTTAGCCAATGGAAACGTAACTTCTAACTGAAAACAAAACAAAACAAAACAAAACAAAACCCCACTAGATTTAATTGATTACACAGACTGATAACCAGTACGACTTTTCCTTCTTCCAATCATATAAGAGATAAAGACAACAATTATAAGGAAGCCCAAGGCCACACCCACTGCAACAGGAATAAGAAAGTTGAGGTCAGAGTCAGCAGAACATTCTTCAGCTGTTAGAAAAGAACAGACAGCAAGGAAATTAGTAAAGAATGCAATTAAGCAGTAAAAAGCATGCGAGAAACAAGCATTTTTAAAGTGTACATAGCTTAGTCTTTTATAGCATTACCTCTATTTTATTTGCTCAATATCTCATTATCGCTTTATTTAAAAGCACACGAAATTCCTCAGTACAAAAAGCAGAAGGTAAGGGAAGAATAGGAAGGGCCCAAAATAGAGAATTGTGCTTGCCTAATATGGGAAGACTTTAGGTTTGATTATCTAATGACACTGGGTTAAGGAGCCATCATCTTCACTTAAAACCACTGCCTGTGTATTTCCCTACTCTCTTTCTCCTTTGTTATACCTATAACTAAAGTATAAATAAGAATTCTGTATAAGTAATAAAATATAAGTTAAAAAAGACTTAGGATCAAGAATGCAGTATATACTTTTTTTTTGCATAGGCATTAGGTAGCTATTAGGTTATACACAATTACTTTTAGCTGAGCAGTGGCCTGGAAGAATAACAGCAGTATTTAATTCATTGCAGTCCATTCCACCCAACCACCAGGAAAGCCACATGTGCAATGTAGATTTTGAGTTCTGGATTCAGACAGAACTGAGTTTAAATCTTGACTCCTTCCAGTACTAGCCAAAGGACCTTGGGCAAGTTATTCAAACTGGGCCTCACTTTCCTCATCTGTAAGAGGGGGATAATACCCATAAGGAAATTGAGGATTAAATACAATTTTATTTCTAAAGCACCTGATACACATCAGGAGGTCAACAAGTGTTCCTTCTCGTCTCTTTTCCTCTTATGCTCATGGTCCCATCTGAGAAGGATTAGGTTTTGAAGTAGCAAACAGAGATTAAAATAGGAGTGTTTTGGTATATTACTATTGAAAAAGTCCATATTAGTATAAAAAAAAAATTAAGCAAAACATAGTATGGAAGCCCAAAGTGCCCAATTCTGATCTCATAATTTCAAGTGTAAACCAGCTGTTGTTTTACTGTTGAGTGACTAGATTTCATTAGGGTCAATTTTTATCAAAATGCTAACAATAGTTTTGTTGCCCACATGATATGGAACCTCAATGAATTTCACTCCCCTTTCTGTAAATAATCGTTAAGGTCATTTCCAGTAATAGCTAATGAAATTAACAAAATGTGTTATCTGATGTGATTTATGATTAAGCAATGACTTGTACTTTTCTTCTAATTTTAACTTTTCCTCCTCTTGTACTTTTGCCATTCATAAAAATGTTGCTACGGTTCTGAGTACATAACACTCATTTCAGTAACCACACATTAGCCTATGTTGAAAGAACTTACTATATTTTACTGAAAGCTCTCAAAGACTGAGAGCTGGGTAACAAGATACACTGTATAGAAGTTATAGAAACTCTGATCATGCCCATATATACATACAATGGGTTAATAATACTTCAACGCGAAAGTCTTCTAGTCTATTAATCTTCCTTCTTTATCTATGTTTCATATCTGTGCTACTCTTATACCACGGAATATGCTTCAACAAGGGCTGATTATCTAGTTCATTTTAATGCCAACAGCTTCTCTTTACAACCCTATCTATGCACTGTCCCACAGGGGCCATCTTGAAGAAACAAGAGCCTAGTTGCTATTGCTTCACTGCCTCCCTTCTGAGATTGCTGTTAGCTTACATTTCATAAGTACCACTCTGATGACAACACTAAATAGATTTTAATGCTCCAGAGATCAACAAGATGAGGTAGAGAAACACAACACAATCTGTCCTAATTAGTTCATAGAATATTTCTATCTTTCAATACGAATCAGGCATCCAAAGAAGAACAAAACAAGAAACAAAAAAGCAAGTGGTTAAATATGCTTGAATCTTTTCAGTCTATATTGCTGAAAAACAAACAATTCTCTTAAAAACTCTAATTATGAAGCCAGTTTAAGTTCTGTTGTAGCCTCTTGGGTCTGTATCATCCCTAGGGAAAAAATCACAAGCCTGAGGTACTAACTTCATGCTTAACTTAAACTCAGAGAAATCAGCAGAAGTCACATAACCTTTAAAATGCTGATGGTCCTGAGGACATTCTCTACTTTATTCAACTGAAAACCAAGTTTAAGCACATCTGATGGGCATTTATACCACATCAACATTTATTTAATGAACTTTACACAAAGGCACATTGATGAGTTTAAATCACTATAGTCCTTATACACTGAAACAGAATACCAGTCGTGAAATGATATTTATTAATTCCATTAAGACACAACTATATATTTTATTCTTATAATGGCCATGTTAATAAGTTCAATGCATACTTCAAAGTTAGGATCAAAATTTGGCCAAGGCTTCTTAAGATAGACTTTAAAACATTGCACATCGATGTTCCTTTGAACAAGTTTGTCTCCAGGACCAGTAAATATGACACTTTGGATTGTAAGCTGATTAAAGAGAACAGGTTTTATTAATAAAGACTAATATCAAAATGCTGGGATTGATAAAATAATTAAAGTTTCAACATATCAATTTTAAGAAGTAAAGTGTTTCAACAACTGAGAGGTAAGAAAACCTTGTTATTTGCATGTATTTTTATATAATCAATCAGGTTGCAGATTCTAAAATTGCTCATATCCAGCATGATGGCGCTTGAGACCAATAAAATAAGCCAGCAACACTAGAATAAGTACTCCTGCCAAGGCTGCTCCCACTGCTATGGGCACAAGGAAGTTGTCGTCATCTGCACTGCAGTCTTGAGCTAGATGTGGAGAAAGGACAATTGAGAACAGAAACAGTGACAAACTTTCAAATCTGTGTATTTTGGGTAAAATGACAGTACTTCCTAACACACATATTTTGTTTTTTTTTATACCAAGGTAACAAGTCATTGGCATTCATTATCAGCAAATGAGATGTTCCACAAAACTGATTTCCCAAATAACCAAATAATACACTTTTAAGTACCAAGTAAAAATGCACTCATTTTGGATGAAAAATGTACAACATGGTCACATACTTCCCAGATTTCTTAAACAGAACATAATGAACAAATATAATTAGCCTTGCCTTGATGATCAGGCCGTGAGCTTTCAGAGGCAAACTGTTATGATGTCGAAGAAGCACAGTGCTTCAAATATTGCAGATTGTTAAATATTAACTCACTGAATGAACAACTATACAAAGCAGACATAAGAACTCAATACATTACAATCTGGGGTCATTTACTAATGGGAAAAGAGATATAAGCGGGCCCTGATGACATAACTGTTTGCCTCAAGATGCTCAGTCCTAGTGTGAGAATCAGACAAGAAAAATCAGTGGTTGTAATTTCAAAATGTGTTGTGGTAGGAGCAGGCAACACAAAGTGCCATGGAAAAATTTCAGAGGCACACTCAAGCTCAGCCTTATTACATAAGACACTTTGAAAAGGTGACACTTCAGCTGAGATTTTAAGGATGAATAGGAATTAACGATGCAAGTAATGGGGGAAGGGCATTCCAGGTATAAGAAATAGCACAGACAAAAATATGGAGAGTAAAAAGACACAGCACTTCAAGGGAAACGCAAGCCAGGTTGGCATAGCTAGAACAATGGATCAAAGGTATTTTGGCTGGACAGAAGGCAGAAAAAGTGTACAGGGACCCAGGTCACAAAGGTCCTATATGCTCTTAGGTAGTTTGGCCTTATCCTGATGAAAAAAAAAAATTTCAGCAGCAGGATATTAAGCAGGATTTCATTTCAGAAGTTATGGCAGATGGAGGTAGTAAGGTAGGGGGCATGTCTATCACTAGAGTCCAGGTAACCAATAATATTGTCCTGAGCTGGATTAATGAAGTGCAGAAGAAAAGCAGAAGGTACAGACTGGAGATCAAATTAGAAGGCAAAATTGGCCAAATGGATGTAGGGGATGTAGGAGGAGGAGATAATAGAATGGTTTCCAATTCCACACTTGACTGATTATGTAGATGCTGGTGCTAGTCTATAAAAGAGGAAGAATATATGCATTTCAGTTTTTTGTAGTTATATGGAACAGGGGGCGAAAAGGATACGTGGAAGAGAGAGATGCTCAGTTTTGGATATGTGAGTTTAAGATACCCGTGTCCTTAGCTGAGCACGGTGGCTTACACCTACAGTCCTAGCTACTTGGGAAGCTGAGATGGGAGAATTGTTTGAGCCCAGGAGTTTAAGACCAGCCTGGGCAACATATCGAGAACCCATCTCAAAAAAAAAAAAAAAAAAAAAAAAAAAAAAAAAAAAAAAAAAAAAGACTATGTCGTAACCAAGTGGCTATATGAACCTAAGTGGTAGTTAAAACACGGGGCAAGAACATTTCTCAGTAAGGGGAAGTAGAATAAAAAGAGGACCAGAGACAAAAACCCTTGGGAACACCAATACCTGTGGAATAGACAATGGGGTAGGAAAAAGATGTAAAAGGGCAGGTAGAAAATGGCACCAGAGAAGCCAAGGATGGAAAGTTTCAATTAGGGTGGAAAGACAGCAAATAATATTAGAGAGCTTTGAAACATGTCCATTGCCTCTAGCAATATGAAGGGTGGGAGATATGAGTAGAATTGCTGCAGGTTTAAGAGGGAATGGGAAGGGATTGGTTAGGACATCAAGAACTTGGGCAGGGTAACGAATACAATACTCATTTTGAGAAGTTTAGAATGATTAAGACAGGACAAAAGGGAGGTAATTAGAAGGGGGACATAGGGATAAGAAAGGATAGCTTCAGGTTAGAAGAACTTAAATAGGATGAGGGAAAGAGCCACTAGCAATCGACAGAAGATGCTTTGGTACAAGTTCTCCTACAAGGCAAGAGAAATGAGATTCTAAAAGCATAAGACATAAGAACTCAATACATAACAATCTGGGGTCACTCAGTAATGTGAAAAGAGATATAAATGGGCCTTGATGACATAACTGTTTGCCTCAGTTTAACCAGGAAAAGAAAACCTACTCTGAGACTGGAGAGGAGGAAGGAATGATACAGATGGATACACTTGCAGGAAGGAT